ACACTCCCAAGACGCTCCGCGGAAGACCTCGGTATGCCAAACGCAAGCGTTTTCGCGTTCCACGCTCTTTGGTCGAATGTCCCTCCCCTTGCGGCCCCTGAATAGCCCCAAGGACCCACTGAGAGCTCAAAGAAGGCACCTGTACTGCGCAAGACAACCCTAAGAGAATCCGAAGCCGGCCCAGGATATCCTCCAGAGGGATCCAAGATGGCCTAATAAGATAATACCCCATTGCCGCCAAACGGGGCCACAAGATGAGCCACAAGACGGGCCCACGACTTCGCCACAGAAGCCTACGACATCTCGAAGACGGCCTAAAAAAGCCCCATGAGAGCCTTCAGAATGTGGCGACGAGCGGTGTCACATCTGACTGTTTTCTGGGGGGTGCTCGAAGTGTCGTCACACAGAGTGCTTCGCAGTCACGCTGGCAGAGTTGCTGGAACCACCTGGATCCACAGGCCCCCCTGATGGGGCCATCAGGCTGCGAGGATTAGGCTTCAGTACCCTGCACCAGTGCCAGTTTTCAGTCTCCACTGTTAGTCCTGCTTGCTGCTTCCTACTGCAAATTGTTGAAGTCCGCGCGAGGGGAGGAGCCGAAAACCACCGGTTACTACCACCCCCGAATCGCGTTGTCTGAATTCCTGCGGGGCCGTGGGACATGTAAGAATACATGAGATTCGCGCTCCCGACGCAATAATCCATCGTAAATTACCGTGTGCTCGCGCCCCCGACGCCACGATCACTCGTAAATTGCTCCGCAGTCGCGTCTCCGAAGCCGCGATCCCTCGTCAAAAACGCCGTGTTCGCGTCCCCGAAGCCACGATCTCTTGCAAATTACACTACGTACGTTCGCGCCTCTGGGGCCACGATCCCCATAAAATTACACCGCATTCGCGCACCCGACGCCACGATCCCGAAAAAATTACACCGCTCTCGCGTCCCCGAGGCAACGATCCCTTGCAAGTTGCGCCACATTCGCCTTTCGCCTCCCCGAAGCCACGATTCCTGATAAAATATACAATGTTCGCGCCCCCGATGCCACGATCTCCTGTAAATTACACTACATTCGCGCCTCTAAGGTCACGATCCGACGTACATTACGCCACAGTTGCGCCCCCGAGGCAACGATCCCTGGTAGATTACACACTAGTCGCGTCCCCGAGGCCAGTAACCCTTGTAACATATACAATTGTTGCGCCCCCGAAACAAAGAAACCTCGTAACTTCCGCAATAGTCGCGTCCCCGAGGCCATCAACCTTTGCAAATTATGCAAATCTTGCACCCCCGAGACAACAAATCCTAGTAAATGACTCCAGCCTTGCGCCCCTGAGGCACGAAGCCTTAACCCTTTTTGTAACAAAACCAGACGCCAGAAACCATCGCAAATTGCTCAATAGTCGCGTCCCCGACGCCAGAACACATTGTAAATTACCAAAGATTCGCGCCCCCGAGGCTAGAAAAATACTAAATTCGTGCGTCACCGAGGCAACAAACCTGGTTCTGTATTTGCGTACATGGGGCCATCGACCCTAGCAAATTCGGCCAGATGCGTATTGCCCAGGCCATGGATGCTCCAAGGCGCCCGAAGATGATCCCAAGACGGTCCCAGAGGGCCCCAAGCGGCCCCAAGAGGGATCGAAGAGGCCTCCCGAGAGAGCCCCAACAGGCCAACATGGTCGAGAAGCCGAGAAGCCCCCAGGAGGCCCCCAGGAGGCCCCAAGAGGCGCCCAAGACGCGGCAAAGAAGCCTCCAAAAGGCTCAAAAGATACCCCACGAGGCCCCAACAGGTCCCCAGGAAGCGCCGTGACCGCCTCCAAGAGGCCCCCGAGAGGCCCCCCCCCCCCACGACGCCCAAACACATATACAAGAGGCCTCAGACCCACAATCCAGGCACGGTGGCGGGACGGGCCGCAGGCCACTCGGATCCGCCGCCCCCTTGGCTTGCCACCCCCTTTTGCTTTAGCAAAGGGGTGCCTGGCGTGCTGGACCCTTTCGGTTTTGGTTTTGGTTCTTTTTCCAAAAGAACTCACCCTGGGGCTTCGGCCCGTCCCGCCGGCCACCCGGAAAATCCCCAAAACGCGTCCGTCGTGCCTCTGTTTGCTCCAGTTGGTCCAAGATGGCGTCCAAGACGGCCAAGGCGGCCCAAGATGGTCTCCAAGACGTCTCCAAGACGGCCCAAGATGGCCTCCAAGACGGCTAAGATGGCCCCAAGATGCCTCCAAGACGGCCCAAGATGTACCCAAACGGCCTCAGATAGCCCAACAGGCCCGCAAGAGGCCTCCAAGACGGCCCAAGAGCCCTCCAAGACGTCCTCCTGGAAGGCCCGAAAGGGCCAATCTCCATTATTTCCGTTGGGTTTTCAAGAATTTTGGCATTTGCGCCTTTTCGGCTTTCCGACGGCCCAAGATGGCCCAAGAGGCCCCCAAGATCGCCCAAGAGGCCCCCAAAAGGGCCCCATGACAGCCCAAGTGGCCTCCAAGAGGGCCCCAAGAGGGCCCCAAGACGGCCCAAGAGGCCTCCAACACGCCCAAAATGGCCTCCAAGACGCCCAAGATGGCCTCCAAGACGGCCCCGAAGCACCCCAAGAGGGCCCCAAGTCGGCCCAGAAAGGCCCCCAAGACGGCTCCCGACGGCGTCAGACGTGCCAGGAACCCACCAAGTTGGCCGAAGTTGACTTGAAGCTGGCCCAAGCCTCCAGGAAGGCCAGAAGAGGCCCAAAACATTGATTGTCCTAGGTGTTTGACGGATTTTGACAGTTCCTTCTTTTCGGCCTTCCGACGGCCCGGGACGGCCCAAGAGCCTCCGAAGATCGCTGAAAGATCGCCCACGAGGCCTCCAAGATGGCCCCAGAACGGCTCAAGAGGGCCCCAAGACAGCCCCAAGAGGCCCCCAAGACGGCACAGGAGGCCTTTAAGACGCCCTTTTGAAGGATTGTGGCATTTGCTTTTTTCTGCCTTCCGACGGCCCGAGACGGCCCAAGTGCCCCGAAAGATCGCAGATCGCCCAAGAGGCCCAAGACACTGCCCCAAGAGGCCCCCAAGACGGCCCAAGAGGTCTCCAAGACGCTCAAGATGGCTTCCAAGACGGCCCAAGAGCCCTCCAAGACGTCCTCCACGAAGGCCCGAAAGGGTCAAAATGGCCTCCAGACGGCCAAGATGACCTTCAAGATGCCCCGTGTTCCCCGAAGGCTTTCCAAGCCGATTCGGGGAACACATGGTCCGATAGCTTGGCAGGTCTGGCCTCAACGTTTGGCCACACAGGCGCTTCCGAAAAGGCAGGGGGCGGCGATGATTCGCCGTAGGCGTCTTCGATCCGCCGCCCCCTTGGCTTGCCACAGGGGTGCCCGGCGTGCTGGACCCTTTCGATCTGGGTTTTTATGTTTGTCCAAAAGAACTCTCCCCTGGGACTCCGGCCCAACCCGCTGGCCACCCGGAAGAGCGAACAAAGCCGCACAAAGCCCGGAAACGAGCTCAACGTCCACAAAAAATCCCCCACGTATTCCCCGAAGGGTTTCCACAACAATTGGGGAAACCCATGGTCCGAACGCTTGGCAGAGCTCTTGCCACAGCGCTCGGCCACATGGGCGATTCTAGAAGGCAGGGGGCGGCGGTGATTCGCCGTAGGCGTCTTCGCTAACGCCCACGTCTCAATACATATGCGCTGATGATTCCTATCCGCCCCCGCATGATGTTCCCAGATGCGCCAAGGCAGCGCCGAGACGCACCGAGACGACTCTGATATATTCCATTTTGATAGGGGGTTTGATGGGGGGGGACGGCGACAGGGGGCGAAGCCCTTACGAATGATCCCGACCGCAGGCGAGGCCGCCCAGCGTAAACGCGACTGCCAAAGCCTTTCATCCAACAAGAGCAAATTCTTCATTGTTCATGAGAACGCCCGTGACTCGCCCCCCCGCCCCCACCCCCCTCCCCCCCATGGTCACGTCCCGATTCGCGCCGGCGCCGTGGGAAGTCGGCATCCCTATGCGTTTTCCCAGACGGCGCCGGCACGAATCGTGACCTGACCAGCCCGCTCCCCCTAATTACCGTTTACCCCCCGCCCCAGTCACGCCCGTGCTCGCCAGGGGAAGCGAAAACGGTCCCTGGGGTTCCACAAAGCCCTCTGAAGATCAGGCATGTCCACCTGCCTGCCACCCTCCGTGCCCCTCGCCTCACCAGTTGAGCAGGGGCTGGACGTCCTGGTGTTCCTGTAGGCCTACCACGACATGCCTTCAGAGCACGATGATGTTCTAAGATCACCAACAAGTGCCTCAGAATATGCTACTGACGTCCCAGAAACGATATATCAACGTTTCATATAAATCAAAAAAAGACATGTGTTGGTTGGCCAACATGCAGCCCAATACGCTTCGTCACTGCTTGAACCGGAGGTCCAACTGAGCGGCAATGCAACTGGATCCTCCATACACCCTTCAGGTGCCGGGGCTGTGCATCGGCTCAGTCGTGATTTCGGCCCCCCGTGCCCTGATGCTGGATCACGAGGCCTCCCCACGTGCATGGCCCACCCGCCTCCCAAGATCGAGCCTAACGCAAGGGGCGTTAGCGGAAGGGGGGCTCACGCATAAGCTCACGCAGTTGTCTTCCCCAGCGCCTCTGCGCATCGAGGGACGAGCCCAGCGGCGGGGCCGAAACCAGCCGCATGCGGCAGATTTCGTACCCCCCCTCGGGTTCCTCGCGAAGCAGAAGCGGGCACGGGCTGGCGAGCGGCAAGGGCGACAAGAGGAGGAAGGAGGAGGCCAGCCGGGGGCTGCCAGACAGGACGGCACGGCTGCGGGACGCAGGAGCGGTGGTGGGTGGAGGAGGCGCGCACCGGGCTTCTAAGAAGCAGCAGCCGCATGCAGCGGACGCCGTGAGCTCTTGCTCGTCGGGCTTCGTCCGACCCGACAGGGCGCAGACCTGCGAGACGCCGTTCCGCCCGAGAGCGCAGCCTGACCGCAGCCGAGCGCGCACGAGCCGGCGAGGCGCCCCCCTCCCCGCTTCCTTGCACACCAGGTTGACCGCGCTCCAGTTCTTGTCCTTGTCCACGACTATCTCTGGCTCCTCCTCTTCCTGGAAACGGGCACCGAGGGGGACGAGAAACGGAGGGGGGGCCCACTCGCGGGGAGGAGCACCTTGGCCTGGAATTGGCAATAAATCGCCGACACATCGGCGGCAGGACCCCGATAGCGAAACCGGAAGTTCTTGGGCGGGTTGGGCTATCGGGCCTCTGTCGGCGATCGCCTCCTCCTCCTTATCATTCTCCGTGTCATCCTCCTTATCCTCCTCATTTTCCTCCTCCTCATAGTATCACGATTCCTAGTCTTTATAGTAATCAGTATTGTTGATATTAGTGCTCTGCTAATTGTTCTTCATATCAATCGTTCTCATTACCATCATCATCACCACCACCACCATCTTCATCACCACATATTACCACCACCACAATCACCAACATCACCATCACTATCACCATCACCACCACTACCGCCAGCATAACCACCATCACCACCATTATCATCACCACCATCATCAGCATCAGCGTCATCACCGTGATAAGTATCATCATCATCATCATCATCATCATCATCATCATCATCATCATCATCATCATCATCATCATCATCATCATCGTCATGATCAGCATAAGCATCAGCATCACAAGTATCCTCATCATCAGCACCATCAGCATCGCCGTCAATGACATCATCACCATCGCAATCACCATTACCACCATTACCACCATCACCATCGCCATCACCACCTTCAGCACGATCATCATCATCCTCATGCCTATCAACATCAGCAGCATCAGCATCAGCAGCATCATCATCACCATTACTATCACCACCACCATCACCACCACCCTCATCATTATCATCATCATCATCGTTTTCATCATCATCAACAACATCATCAGCGTCATTATGATCATGACCATCATAATCATCATCATCATCATCATCATCCTCATCCTCATCCTCATCCTCATCCTCATCCTCATCCTCATCCTCATCCTGATCCTCATCCTCATCCTCATCCTCATCCTCATCCTCATCCTCCTCCTCATCCTCATCCTCATCCTCATCCTCATCCTCATCCTCATCCTCATCCTCATCCTCATCCTCATCCTCATCACCATCCTCATCATCATCAGCATCAGCATCAGCATCAGCATCAGCATCATCATCATCATCATCATCATCATCATCATCATCATCATCATCATCATCATCAGCATCAGCATCAGCATCAGCATCAGCATCATCATCATCATCATCATCATCATCATCATCATCATCATCATCATCATCATCATCATCTCCCCGGGGAGCAGTGCGCCGCGCGAGAGAGCACGTCGGCAGGGCCCAAGATGGCTCCAGGACAGGGCCTCTGGCGATGTGCTTTGCTCAACTGGCGGTTCGTCTTTGGTCTCAGCCCTCGGGGGCCGCTTTCGTGCCTCGTGGTCCTCAGCAGTCAATTGTGGGCGAGTTGCTGCCCCCCGAGACAGCGGTCGGCGAGACCTCTGGGGCCGCGAGTCGAGAAAAAGTGAAACTTCCGCGGAAGTCAGGGCCTCCTGGCATTCGACCGTGCTTCGAAACAGCACGGAGGTTTTTCTCGGGCCCTGGCCTTTGGACCCAGGGCCGTCAAGAAAGCAACTCAGGAGGAAAAGGCGGCTCTGGCTAGAAAGTCCAAAGTTTGCCAGGGACTCGTTCCCTCTCAAAACAGCCGAAACCCTCCCGACACCCTCCGAAAGTCCTCCAGGAAGGGCTCTGCGAGGCTCGAGGGAGGGTCTCTGGAGGGTCTCGGAAGAGCTTTCGTCGCGTTGCGGGGAAACCCGTCCCTGACCGACCTCGGACTCTCTAAGGCTCTGGGGCAAGGGCCGGGCCCTCCGAGGACCCGGCCCTCGATGCGAAGGGTGCTCCGCGCGCCCTGGGACGACGATGACGACGACGGCGACGACGAGGACGAGGACGACGACGAGGACGACGATGCCGCCGACGACGACGACGAGGACGACGACGTCGCGCATCGGACAACAAAGTCCAAAACATCAGCTCCCTGGGGCTCCGCCCGCCGAGCAACAGCAGCAGGCAAGTCGCCGGAGGGCCTCGGTGCCTCGATGCCGCGGGCCGCCTCCCACGCCCAGGCCGCCCACGGCGGCAGCACATGCGAAGACCGACGGAGCCGACAGCGAAGAGTGACGAGCGACGAGTGAAGAGTGGAGATTGAAGACTGAGCCGACAGCGAAGAGCCGACTGAGCCGACAGCGAAGAGTGAAGAGTGAAGACTGAGTGCCGATGCTCTTCCCAGGAATTCGTTAGTAGCGGCCGAGAAGTCAGCAATACGACGCGGCAGCGACAGCGCAGCCGACCGAGCCGACCGAGGCGACCGAGGCGCCCCACACCCCCGGCCCCCCTCCGAGCCCAGGCCACGCCCCCGAGGGCCCGAACGAGAAGGCCAGACGTCGCACTCGTTCGTGGCAGTGAGCCCGCGGGTCCTTGTCGCCCTTCTTCGGCGGCGCCTCGTCGTCACCGTCCGACTCGTCGTCTTCTAGACCTGGGAGCGGAGCGGAACGGAGCGGCGCCGATGTCGCCCAGAGGGCGTCCCGTGTAGGGAACGGCGGGTGCGCAGGGGCGCCCCAGTTCTGAACTCGGAACTCGGACTGCGTCTTGCACCGCTGGGGTGCTGCAGGATGGGGCCGAAGCGTCCGGGAAAGAACTTCTAGACCTGGGAGCAGCTGCAACTCCTACCACCCCCTCCTCCGAGGGGGCACATCTGGGGGGTGGGGACAAGCTCAGGGGGGAAACATCGACCCGGAAGCGGCGATACATCGCCGATCGATCTGCGATAGGTCCCCGATAGCGAATCCGCACGTTTCTGGGCGCGGTGGGCTAACTCGGGTCCCTGACGGCGATCAGTGAGCGATTTGAGGTCGATGCGTCCCCCCTGAGGCTATGCCCCCCGAACTAGCGTTGCCTCCTGTAAACCCTGCGAGCGCAAGGCGATCAAAAAGTGCATCCGCAAACACTCTCGTGGACGGGAAGCGCATCCAAACCCGTCAGATGCAAGGTCACGTGACCCGTCAATGACGCACGCGCTCTCTATTTTCGTTCACGTGCTTTCTAGCTTCGCCCTGGGACGCCTCCTTCTGGAACGAAGCTGAACAGATGTCGATATGAAAGCGGACAACACCGAAGCGGAACTGGAACGTGCCACCGTTGATGCAAACAAGTATACAGTGGAGGCCAGTCCACAAGAAACCCAACCCTGCAACCCCAAGACGTCCATTGTTTTTTGGCGTGGGAGCGCCACGCTTTCCATAGCAGAACCATCCGAACCCGAGAGACCCAGGGCATCCTGGATGCAAGCAGAGTGCTTCTTGGCATGGGCCCCCCACTGCACTCCGACCCCACTCAGGAGGAGGAGGAGGAGGAGGAGGAGGAGGAGGAGGACGAGGAGGAGGAGGAGGAGGAGGACGAGGAGGAGGAGGAGGAGGATGAGGAGGAGAGGAAGAAGGAGGGGGAGAGGAAGAGGGAGGGGGAGGGGAGGGGAGGGGGAGGAGAAGGAGGAGGAGGAGGAGGAGGAGGAGGAGGAGGAGGAGGAGGAAAGGAGGGGGAGGAGGAGAGGAGGAGGAGGAGGGAGGAGAGGAGGAGGAGGAAGAAGGAGGAGGGGGAGGACGAGGGAGGAGGGAGGAGGAGGAGGAGAGGAGGAGGAGGAAGGGGAGGGGAAGGAGGAGGAGGAGGGGGGGAGGAGGAGGAGGAGGAGGAGAGGAGGAGGGGAGGCGGAGGAGGAGGAGGAGGAGGAGGAGGAGGGAGGAGGAGGAGGAGGAGGAGGAGGAGGAGGAGGAGGAGGAGGAGGAGGAGGAGGAGGAGGAGGAGGAGGAGAGGAAGAAGGAGGAGGGGAGGAGGAGGAGGAGGGAGGAGGAGGAGGGAGGAGGAGGAGGAGGAGGAGGAGAGGTGAGGAGGAGGAGGAGGAGGAGGAGGAGAGGAGGAGGGAGGAGGAAGGGAGGAGGAGAGGAAGGAGGAGGAGGGAAGGAGGAGGAAGGGAGGAGAGAGGAGGAGGAGGAGGGGGAGGAGGAGGAGGAGGGAGGAGGAGGAGGAGGAGGAGGAGGAGGAGGAGGAGGAGGAGGAGGAGAAGGAGGAGGAACGTGTCGCGACAGCGCATCAAGAGCGCGGCTTCTCAAACCCCCCGAGGACCCCGAGACGCGCAGCCTCGCGGCCTGCACGCCCCGGCCCGCGACCCCCTGGGGGCGCGGGGCGGCCCCTGCGCGGGTGCCCCGCGCGCGGCGCGCCCGCGGGGGCCGCGCACCCACGGGGGCCGCGCCGGGGCACTCCCGACCGAGAGGCAGGAGCCGTCGGGTCGGAAGGGAGGGGAGGTGTTGGCCATCGGTGGCGAGCGAGGGGGGTGTTGGCCATCGGCGGCGAGCGAGGGGGGGGGGCGGGAAGTGAGCAGGGGCAGGCCTTCCAAGAGGGCGGCGGGGCTTCTCCGAAGCCCTCCGGCGGCCTTCTGAGAAGTTGTCCGTGCCTTCTGAGAAGGGGCAGGCCTTCCAAGAGGGCGGCGGGGCTTCTCCGAAGCCCTCCGGCGGCCTTCTGAGAAGCTGTCCGCGCCTTCGAGGCCTTCCGAGCCTTCTGAGAAGGCCCGCCCCTTCTCTTTCCCCCCCCCCGTGCTGGCTTCCGAGTCAGTGGGGGGAGGGGGGGGGCGGTAGCGAAACAACTCACGCAGCCGACTTCCAGACCCAGGAGCGCCAAAGGCGCCAAGGCATCGAGGAAAGCGCCCAGTGATGGGGCCGAAAGCGGCTGCATGCAGCGCATGTCGCACCCCCCCTTCCCCAGTCCCCCCCTTACGCTCGCCGCCGCATGGCGCGGGCAGGGAGCGGAGCACAAGAAGGAGGCCGACTGACGACGTGCACCGCGCGTCCTCCTGCCCGATGGCCTGGAACCATAGCTGAACTAACACACGATGTCCAACCCCATACCCAAAACATGCTCCCAGCCCGAACAGAAGAAGAACACAGCATGGGCAGCAACTTTCGAAGCTCTGGCCAGAGCTAGTGGCTCGGCGCTGGACCCCCCTCCCTGGCGCGCTGCGGCCCTGGAGGCGCCGCCAGGGGGGTCCGGCGCCGACGCAGGAAATCAGTGCGAACCTCCGAATATATATATATATATATATACATATATATTACACATCTATCTCTCGAACCCCCATGGGAAGAACACGGGGACCATGACCAAGACTGAACGCGGAAACGCCCTGTCAATCTTGGTCAGCGTCGACCTTGGTCAACGTCAACTCGTGCATCAACCTCGCGAATCGGCTACGGCCGTTATGGACCGTGCCCCCGGATCGGCATGGACAAGATCCCGCGACATCTAGGTCATGGTCCCCGTGGTTCTTCCCACCGCTTAACGAAACATATCGAGGTCCGCCCGCTGGCGTTGAAATGGGGCGGGGGGGGGGGGGTAAAAAGCAGCTCACGTAGCTGATTTTCCGGGCGCCTCGCGGCGCCGGAGGCGCCCATGCATCCAGGAGTGGGCCCGGCGGCGGGGCCGAAACCGGCCGCATGCAGCAGATTTCGTACCCCCCCTTTCCCACCCTGACCTTCCAGAGTGCTAAAAAATAGCCCTCCAGACCTGTAGACCCGTCTGGGCTGCCTGAAACCCCGACGGGAATTGAGACATCGAGGTCCAGGTGCTACTTTTCAGCCCTCCTGGAAGGTCAGGGCCCCTCCCCCACCGCTCAGCGAAGAGCAGCTCGAGGCCCGCCCGCCGGCGTCGAGGCCCTGCCCCCTCCCCCCGGGCGCCCGGGGGGAGCGGCGGGGAGGCGGCACGCGGCAGAGCTCGGGGCGCGGAGTGGGCAGGGGGCCGCTCCACGGGCGAGGGGCGGCGCGCTCTCGGGTGGCGCGTCGGGGAGGGGTGCGAGAGCTGGGCAGGGGCCGACCGTCCCGGCATTTCGTGAAGGGGCCCTGGGGCACACGAGAAAATACACAAAAATAACCAGATTCCACATATTTTCTAATATTTTCTGGGTTCTTGTCTTCCCCCCCCACCTCCCATATTTTCCCATATGTTCCTGGGAGTCGACGATTCATTGTGTCTGTGTGTTTTTCCCCTCCTGAATTTCTGTAGCCCTACCACGAGATGTTCTCAGAACCCAGGAATGTTCGAATAACAAAAACAATGTGCTTTTAGACCACAGGCCCGATGTGTGAAAGCAAGACAGGCCCAGCCAGAAATGTTCTAAGAACATCTCGTGCAAACCACAAAAAGGTTCTTAGAACATTCTTGGGTGGGCCTATAGGCGAGCCAGGACGCTTCGCCACTGCTTGCGAGAAGGGGCAGAGGGCTTCTGAGAAACCTCCTCTGCCCCCGGGGGAGCCTTTTTGATAATTTCGCAGGAGGCCGGAGGCACTCCGAGACTTCCGGGGAGGCTCGCCCCCTCTCGCTTCACCCCTGGGCTCGCCGCCGACGCTCGCCCAGACCCCCCCCGCGTCGTGAAGAATCACCGGCGGACGGTGTTTGGAGTGGCTTCGGCCTATCGCATAGCCTTCACCCGGCTGCTGGACCGAGCCAGAATCGGCACAGGATGAGAAGCTGGCTCCAGGCGGATGGTCAAGATCTCTGGGGGACGAGGCTGTGAAACAAATCCACGGCATCGGGGATCTCCTCCTCCTCCTCCGCCTCCTCCTCCTCCTCCTCCTCCTCCTCCAAGGCATATCGATGCCGCGACGGTCTGGAAGAACGAGGCGCGACCCCGCGGATACATGCGATCCCGTGGGTGCGCACCGCGCGGGCATCCCGCGTTAACGTCACCGTGTAGGCCCACGGCGCCGCCGCCCGGATATCCGGGGCCGCGAGGCTGCGGACATGGATCCAGGCATCCGACGACGCTCGTTTTATCAGTCCGCGGCCATAGAATTCCCCCGACCCCTTCCCCTGGGGCGATGCTTCGTCCTGGCTCCTCTCTTGATGGCCCCGGGGCCCGATAACGGGTCACGGCGCCCGACATCGAGTAGAAACGCCAGGGTTAGAAAGGATCACATCGTGTGGAGATGTCTCCCGCCAAAGACCGTTCGCATGCAAAGAGCAAATGTACATGTATATTGGACGGAGCTAGGACGAGGGTAAAACCATTCCAGAGCGTTCCAGAATGCTCTCAGAGCGTTCTGGAACGCTCTGAGAGGCCGCGGCGCCCGAGACATCCTCCAGATCCGCCGTATCTGAGAGATGCTCGAGTTATCCTCACCTGAATTCATTATTGTCCTGGCTTCGTCTCAGTATAAATAATATGTGTACAGATGTACACACAGCACAGGCCCACTTTGGGCGGGACTATGGTGCACGTGGCCTCCGAGGCCTGGCTGGGAGCCGACAGCTGCGCACTAATGCCTGGCCCGAAATGGGCCCGAGACAGCCTGGCGGTGTATTGCGGCAGGCTCGCATCGTGACGACCCTGGCGTTGGTTTCTGACACCGGGAGTGGGACGCACAAGGACGTACTAGCACTATATGTCCTCTTTGGATGCGTGCGTCCGACCCGAACATATAGCTTAACCGTCTTGTAAAACGTCGCTTGTCGTGCGGTATTGCCGGAAGGCGCCCGCCACGGAGCTTGTACTGTAAGGTTTCTCGGCGCGCGCGTCGCCCCTCAAGGGCGACGCACACATAGTATCAGTATGTTGGTGTGACGCCGAGAATGGATCGTTCAACCTTGAACGACCGTGGTTGCTTGCTAGTCGACTCTGTCGCTATATTGAAACTTGTGAGCCGCGTCTACATCGCAGAGCGGGGGTGGGCTGAAAGAAGCATGCCACTCATCGACAAAAGCCTTGCCCCGAGTTGTGGCCGCCGCGATCACCGCGACGACCTCCAAAAGCAACCCAGAGGTTTGGTCCGGGGTCGAATATCACGCAAGGAACCCTGGCGCTGGTTTTTGACACCGAAATGATGGTATGTTAAGTCTTCGGGGGACCTTGACTGTCCCATCGCAGTCCATGTCGAATCCATGTCGGACTCGTCGAATTCGTGTCGAATTCGCGTCGAGTCCGCATAGAGCCCGCGTCGGGCACAAGAGAAAAAACACCAATTTTGGGACAGACGAGGTTCCCCGATGTCACAACGTAATGTTTTCCGAATGCCCATGACAAGCGTGAGTTCACACTCCTAGGACGCGTTGACTTGGACGCCATATCTGATAATGATGCGCAATCTCCGATATACGGCATCAAAGAAACACGGGTCCTGAGAAGAACGGGTCCTGGACCCCAGAGCCTTGCCCTGGGAACCAACTCTTTGTCACGAGTCCCGTTATGCCGATCCAAGCGCCTGGGACTGGCCCCCATGAGTACGAACTCGGCCGACGAAAGCCTCAAGGACCCATTGCTCTCAGGTCCTGCTTCCTCCATGGCGATTGCATCAAGGCCGCCAAAGGATCAGATCGAACGAAATGGGCGAGCCTTCATGGAACCTCTGTGGACCTCCGCGACCCTATCACAAACATGATTTCGAACGGATTTCGCCCGGATGGTTTAGATGCCGTCCAAATGTCGTCTGGATTTCGCCTACACGTTGACCAAACACAACGAAATCTGGACGAACCCCCCCAAACCGCAAAGAAATGTGGGACCCTCTGGAGACCGTTTTTTTGAATCGGCGATAACCCGGCTTATCTGGGGGGAGGGGAGGGGGGGAGGAGGGGGCTGGCCGATAGCCTAACCTTCGCGCTGTGGGCAGCCCTGCATATGCCCGCGCCCGCCCACCCCGGACCTGCACAACCGGCAAGCCTAGGTTATCCTGGGGAGGGGCCCTGACCTTCCAGGAGGGCTGAAAAATAGCACCAGGACCTCGATATCTTAATTCCTGTCGAGGTTCTAGGCAGCCCAAATGGGTCTATAGGTCTGGAGGGCTATTATTTACCACTCTGGAAGGTCAGGGGGGTGAATGGAGGGCAAGCCCGATAACCCGGGCGATCGCCGGACCCCAAACCAAAAAGTCTCCCGAAGCTCGAGCCAGCCAGCGGGACGGGCTTTCCCGCAGCCTCCAGGCGCCGGACGCGCCCGTGCCTCGTGGCCAGCGACCAGCGGCGGAGGCGAAGCCGGCTGCATGCAGCAGCTGCCGCACCGCCCCCGCTCTCCCAATCCCCCCTCTTCCCTGACCTCCCAGGAGGGCTACAAAATAGCACCAGGACCTCGAGATCTGAATTACTTCCTGCCGAGGTTTTAGGCAGCCCAGGTAGGTCTGGAAGTCTGGGGGGCTACGGTTTAGCACTCTAGGAGGTCCGGGTTGTGCGCCCCGCGCACTTCACTCTCGTCGTCTGGCTTTCTCGAGGCTTGAGCAGGGACCGACCGTCCAGGCATTCCTATAGTCCTACCACGACATGCTCTTAGAACCCCAAAATGTTATAATAACAAAAACAATGTTCTTAGAACATCAACCCCATGTGTTAAAACACGACGCTCTCCGCCAGAAATGCTCTAAGAACATCCCGTGGAAACCACAGAAGGTTCTTAGAACATTGTTTGGTAGGGCTATAGGCGAGCCAAGACGCCTCGCCACTGCTTGAGAGGCACACCCCGGGTCTCCGCCGGCCTCTCGCCGCGCTGCAGGCACTCCCGGAACGAGGCCGGCCGCCTGCCGAGCATCGACGAGAGCGCCCGAGAACCTCGAGCCTCGACCCTCGCCCAAGTACTACAGGGCAGTTTTTAATACAGGGGATGTTTGACCATATACGATTTTTAATGCATGATTAACGCATGAATAAGTTTATGCATGAACTCATCGTTGTTTTCAATACTAAATCCCTGCATGTTTAATACGTGATCCGCACGCGGCGCATGTATTAAAAACGGCACTGCCAGTCGACGCCAGGACGAGGATGAACTCGGGTGAGGATCAATGAATCGAGCATCTCTGAGAGCCGGCGGCTCTGGAGGATGCCTCGGGCGCCGCAGCCTCCTCAGCACGCTCCGGGGTGCTCTGAGAGCCTCCCGGCACGCTCTGGAACGGATTCCTCCTCGTCCTGGCCCCGCCCGACCAGGGCCCCTCCCCCAGGCAGGAGAGCCCAGAATCGAATCGACAAGGCGGATCGGAAGTCGGCATGAGTCGGATCGGCGGAAACCGGCAGCCGAGTCGGGAAAAGCTGAATCGGCAGAAATCGGAAGGCCAGCAAGCCTCCACGAAGAAATCGGAATCCAACTCGGAATCCCGAGTGGAATCGAATCGGCATCGGAAACCATGGAAATCGAATCGAATCGGATCGGAGGAGCCGAAATGAGCCCTGCAGGAGGGGGCAGGCCACCGCGTGACCCTTCCGTCCAGCCCGAGCGCCCTTTTGCCCCCGGCCTGCCCCAGCGGCCCCGGGGCCCGCCGCGGGCGCGGGGCCGCGGACCTCCCTCTGCGCCGCCGTCGCCCGCCAGCAGCGCCAGGGCCTCCTCGTCATCGTCGTCCTCTTCTTCCTCCTGCGGGAGAGCCGCGCCGATGGGAGATGAGATGCCGCCAAGATAGGGCTGGAGTTGATGGGGCATGGGGGACCTGCCGCACTCGGACGTGGAGGCGGAAAGGGGTCTGACCTGGATGAGCCCTGGAAAAAGACACGGAGGGGAGCGTAGAACTCCTTCTGGCCTGCGAGCCGCAACCCCCGACCCAGACCGAAGGGAAACAACCCTGCAATCGTCGTTCCCGGCCGCCTTCGCGTTGCCAGGGCCGGCTCGTACCGTGACGACCCTGGCGTTGGTTTGTGACACCGCGTGGGTTTCTCGATCGTGCACGATCAGCGGCTTCTCGATCTCGGTCACGATTCCGAGCACGTTTTCGGTCACCGAGTCTTCCCCAGCCGCACACCAATGTATCGACCTCTTTACCACATATTGTTTGTACCATATTGGCCAACATCTTTCGAAAACGCCCAACCTTAACAAACAAACGGAAATCGCGTGACAACAATCGAAAAAAACAGGACAACCACAAGGACACCATCGAAACAACCATAAAAACAACCATCCACACTAACATCGGGATATCAATCCGGACAACCATCAGGAGATCAAACGGGACAAGCATCGGAACAACCACCGGAACAACCATGGGGACAACCATCGGGACATCCATCGGGGCAACTATCGGGACAACCGTGGGGACAGCCGCAAAGACAACCATCTGGATAACCATCGGGATACGCGCCGGGAAACATCATCGAGACAACATCTGGACAACCGTCAGGACAACCATCGGGACAACCGTCGGCACAACTAAGGGACAAGGGCAGGACAACTCCGGGACAACCGCCAGCCCAGACTCGCCAACAGGGCGGGGGAGTGTTTTTGCTCGGGCTGCGTCCTGCGCGCGGGGGGATAATTCCCCTCCACAGCGCACGCAACGTCTCCCCGCCCGCACGCGCGACACAAACGCGGAACCGAACTCCTTTTCCAAATGGGGGGGTCACCACTTCTTTCCGGCCTCACCCCGAACCTCCGCTATTGATAATAGGCAAGCGCATTCCACTACTCGCAAAGTAGCTACTCGCAAATGGCCTGGATCCGCCGCGGGTCATTTACGATCAATTCCATAAATGAAACACGTTTTTTTGTGTGTTTGGACGTTTGCGAGTAGGCACTTCGCGAATAATGGAACGCGCTCGGTGCGATAATGACACCGAGGGCCATCCTTTGGAGCCGCCATGACCTGCAACGACGAAGCCGGATTCCGGAGGATTTGCGCGGCAACGTCTTATTTTCTGAAGACATGCAATGCTGGGCGCGTAGGCCTGCCTGCAAAACCCCCCGACGAGCATCCATCTTGAACTAAACATCGCCGCGGCCGTCGCCATCATCACCGCCAGAACCACAAAAGAACAACTGCTACAATCATCATCGCGCTGAGGGCACGTCAGCCTGCGTCGCCGCACATCGAGTCTGGATGACCCTTGGAAACATCCAGGAATCCTCCTGGAGGTCTTGGGGGCCTCTTGGTGGTCCCAGGGGCCTTTCGGTGTATCGTGGGTGCCTCGGGGGAACCCCTTGGGGCCTCTCGGGAGCCTATTGGGCGCCTTTGGGACCGTTTGGGCGCCCTTTCGGGGCCCTCTTTGGACACTCTTGAAGTTTTTGTAGGGCTCTCTTAAACAATCACAGAATGGAGGGTCCTCAAATTGCATTCCCTCCCACGATGCCCAAATGGGCCCAGAATTTAGGTAACTTCAATGATGTTTGCCGTCTGGCCGAAGCAACCCCCCACTGGACGTGAGTGGTTTGAGGAACTTCATCTTTCAACCTTTTTGTTGCTCCTTGGAGGAAGGGCTTGTCAATGCTCCCATTGACATTCCATTGACATTCACACCCTCCCCAACCCGACCGGCGACAAACCCGGAACTTTGCCAACACGCCCCCCCTCCACACTATCCCCTGTAACAAGCAATACCACATGCAATGTGCAGTATAATCTGGTTCAGGCGCGGACGCCACGCGATCGCCTTGCATGTTTGAGCAGGGACCGACCGTCCCGGCACTCCTATAGTCCTACCACGAAATGTTCTTCGAACCCAAAACTGTTCCAATAACAAGAACAATGTTCTTAGACCATAAACACGATGTGTTCAAACAAAACACTATCAACCAGCAATGTTCTAAGAACATGTCGTGGAAACCACAAAAGGTTCTTAGAACATTGTTTGGTAGGGCTAGAGGCGAGGCAGGACGCTTCGCCACTGCTCGACATGTGTTGACGGTGACGGCGGGTGCCACCACGTTGCCTAAGCGCGCAAAGCCAACACCCCATCCACCATCCCTTAGCAAAATCAGTGCGCTTTGCACCAAGCCCTTGATCATGCGCGGACGCCCCGCGATCAAGTTGCGTTGGTTTGTGACAGGGACGGCGGGGGGGGGCAGCACTTCGTCTGTTGTGTGAAATGCCAACGCCCCCCAACGATCACACAACAGACAAGGCACACCAACATCTGGATCATGCGCTGACGCCCCGCGCTCACAGCGCATGGTTTTTTGACACGGACGGCGGGGGTGACTGCATATTGCCTGCTGCGTGCAAGCCCGCCAAGTCCACCATCCGTGTTCAAAAAAACACACGCACACGAATTTTGCCAGGGACGGCGGGTGGGGGCGGCATCCTGCCTGCTGCGCGCCGGCCGGTTATCATTAACAAAACACAAATGCAAAGCGCTCGAAGGTGCACACCCGAACACAAAACACAATGCTCGCAAACCCGCAATCAGTTTGCTTCGGTTCTGACAGGGGCGGTGTGAGGGCAAACAGATTGCCCCTGTGGCGCACCTGGCGCAGCTGACATGTGCGGCGCACCTCGCGGGCTTCGCGCACCTGGCTGGCGTCTGCATTGGTTCCCGATGGTTGTCGATGGTGGCCCCTGTTGTGACTTGGGTGCGACTTCTGTGTTGGGAGGGCAGGTGGGAGTGAAAGAAACGGCGATCTGCTTGTGGGTAGCTTAGCCCTCCCCCTACCTCCCCTGGGTCTGGAGGGTCGAGCCGCGAGCGGTCAGAGTGTCCAAGATGGCTCCCAAAGGGCATGAGAAAGCCAACTGTGACCTCCAAGATGGTTCAAGGTGACTCAAGATGGTTTCCAACATGCTCAAACAGACCTCAAGACAGACCCAAGACGGTTCAATGTGGTCACAAGGCAGTCCAACGAAACCTCTCAGAGGCCAACATCCTTCAAACACCGAAATGGAATCAATGTTGTTCACCTTCCCATCGTTTCGCTTTTGGATGCATTCCGAAGCCTCAAGGTGGCTCCAAGAAGGCCCAGTCGAGCCCCACAATTAACCCCAAAGGGACCCAATACGGCCCGAAAGAGCGCCAAAGAGCGCCCCAAGAGCGTCGCAAAAGGCCTGATGAGGCGAGTTCAGCGGGTCTACAGGGCCAATGCTATTGCGCCCCCCCCACCATCCGATGATCAATGTCCTCCCAGATCGCCTCAACAAGGCCCCCATAACCCCCAAGAGTGCCCCAAGAGGACCCCAAGAGGTGCCGAGCAGGCCCCGAGAAACCCCCAAGAGGCGCCCCACACAGTTCCAATGAGACGCCCAAGAGGCCCCAAGAGGCTCCCCGATGCATCCAAGACGTTCCTAAAAGTCCCTAGGGCTGCCAAAAAGGCGCCAAAGGCGCCCCAGGAGGACTCCAAGAAGCACTACATAGACACCCGAAAAGACTCCGAGAACATCCGAAGAACTTATGGCCGTTCTGCTCGCCCTCTTCCTCCTACTCCTCGTCCTCCTCCTCCTCTTCCTCGTCCTAATCCCCCCTCCTCCCCCTCCCCTTTCCGCTCCCCACAAGCCGCCACAAACCGCCACAAGGCTCCAGAAGGAACCCCCACAAACCGCATATCCACCACAACTCAGCGCCACAGTGGGACAAGAGCCCTCACTCCTACCATCTCGCTACCCCTCCCTGTTTTACCCCCTCCTCCCTTATCCCCTCCACCCTGCCTCCCTCCCTCATGCCTCCCATGCTTCCCCCATCGAACCTGGAAACAGCTTGAACTCGCTGTACGGAGAAGTATGGAGAGAGAAAGGGAGGGATATATATATATAGAGAGAGAGAGGGAAACAACAACATGAGTAAAGAAACAGAGAGAGAGAGAGAGAGCGAGCAGAGATTTGACATCGCTGTCCTTCTCTGCCTTCACACCGCTGGCTTTGGCGCGGGATTGCATCCACGCCCCCAAGTTCTTGTGTGTCTGTTTTTCTTCTGCAGGCATGGCGCCCTCCATGTGGAGCCACTCGACCTGTCGCCGGCGCCCGCCACTACATGCACCTCTGTTGCCCCAACGCCGCAAGTACTGGGCCACTGGTGTTCATGTCAATCATGCCGCCTCTCCCTCTTGCCTCGCTCAGAATCAGACTCACCCATACTGCGTAATCGCACTCAAGCCCACTCATGCTTTGAGTCGCTCATGCTCCGACTGGCATCCCCGAATTAGAGTATATTCAAGTCCACTCACTCTCAGATCCGCCACCGTGCCTTGACGAGCTCAAGTGCCTAATGCCTTAAGCCTCAGTCCTCAATCGTGAGGGCACTTCACGGGGTCTGGGCACCGAACTGCAAAATCTCTTCGGCCTACCCGCGTGCTCCCCGCTACTAATGTCGTCTTGCCGCAGGATGTTCTCGGAGCCAAGAAGGACCCAAGACGGGCCATGAGGGTCCCAAGACGCCCCCAAGACGTCCAAGAGAGCCCCGAGCCGCCGAACAATCGGTCCAAGACGCCCAGGCTGGCCTGAAGACGGTTGAAGAGGCGCCCAAGACGCCCCGCGCGCGATAGAGCCGCAACGGACGGCGCCGCGCGGCGGCGGCATAAGAAAGACCACCAGAGGTCGGTCGAGTCGAGGACAGACCAGTGCTACAGCCCGGGGGTTGCTAAAGGTGCCCCTGGCCCAAGGTGCCCCCAGCTTTTCTCTCTATCTTGGAGCCCCTGGGGCCCTCTGGGCCTCGTGAGGGGTGCTCTGGAGGCCGTGGGGGCCTCCATGGAAAACCTCGGAGCTCCTTGGGCCAGGGGCACATCTAGCAACACCCGAACAGCTCTCGTTCCCCGCCAGGCTGGTCCAAGAACACCACACTTGCGAGGCGGGGATTTATCCATATTCACCTTCTGGGCAACCAACGCCCTGGGGCCCTGAGGTTGCGGTGGATGTGGGTATATTCGGCCCCTGGGTGCCCAAGACTGTATCCACATCCACCGTCCCCTGGGGTCCAGGAAGATGAGGTCCCCAGGCGGTGGATCACTGCGACTGCCCCACATTCGCTCCGCATCGCAAGACTCCCCGGCGGCCTGTGACAAAGAATTGGTGCCGCTGACAACGTTCTTCATAACTATGGCCTCTTGCGCCGGGTTGCCCTTGATCATCGCCTCCGCGCCGGACGGGGCGGACCGTTCCGCTGCCATGCGGGCCGCCATGCAGCAGGATGACACTTAAGCCATTCAGCATGCAGTGCTCGCCTGGATGTCGGTGCAAGCTGCCTACCACATCACGCTTTAGAATTAGCATGCCTCAGGGTGCTGGCGATGCCCCTAATCGCAACAGATGCACACGCGCTGCTCAACAACGTTTGGCGGCAGGCACATCCCATCGATGCGTTCACATTGCTTGTGAGGCGCCAAGTCAAGCGATATCCGAAACATGAGACCGTACCGAATTTGCAGAGACATTGTCTGGCACGGCCCCCGTCTAGGCCTAGGATGCGAAATTCCGAAGTCCGCGCGAGCGATTGCGCATCCCTGGCAGCCACAAGTGTCATCGCTGACGGTAAGCATGAGATGACGAACACGCATGCGGCAACACTAACTACAGGCAGTTCCGCAGTAGTTTATTCGATTCAACTCACGCCAACCTAGTCTTCTCCTACTCTACTCGACCCATCTTGAGGAGGAAGGGATTGAGGAGGAAGGGGATAGATGCGGTATAAGGCATCCTCCTCCTCATGTTCCTTCCCCTCCTCCTCCTCATCCTCCGACTCCTCTCTTCCATCTCACTCCTCCTCCTTCTCATTTCCATCCTCCTCCTCATTTCCTCCTCCTCCCCACTCAAGCCCAAAATGAGCTGGGGGGCAGGAGAAGGCAAGAGGGAGGGGCCAGATGCAGAGGAGGAAAGGAGGAGCTTGAACAAGGACAATTCATGGAATACCGAATAGTCGACAACCTTACAATGCGGATGATCCCCCCTCCACCTCCCACACACACGCGCACACACACACACACACACATCAACACACACACACACACATACACACAAACAAAAACACACACACACACACTCACACACACACACACTCACACACAAACATACACACACACACACACGCGCGCGCGCACGCACGCACGCACACTTTTTGGCGTCGCAGCCTCGCGCGCGGCGACGAGGCGGAAAACCCCCCAAACAGCGAAACGCGCGACTAACCAGACACACCCACGCACACACACAGACACATACACACACACACACACACACACACACACACACACTTTTGGCGTCGCGGCCACGCGCGCGGCAGCGCGGCGTAAGCTCGAGCTGGGCCGGCCCACGTGCATGGAAAAGCTGGATCCACCTAGAGGGGATCGACAACAACACTCGCAAGGGGCAATCGCGAGAGGAATGGGAAAAGAGCGAAAGAAAAGGGAAAGAGGAAGAAACGGACGGACAGGGAGGAAGCCGTGCGACAGTGCACACACACACACACACACTTTTTGTTGGCGTCGCAGCCCCACGCGCAGCGACAGGATGTCGTAAGGTCGGAGAAGAGGGCGCGCGCGCGTCTAAAGGCCGAGACCTCAAGCAAAGACACACACACAGGCACTGGTACTGCACATCGGCATCCTCAGCTGAGGCTTCTGTTGATGTTGGGTCGTACTTATGGGCTAGTGCATCGTCCTGGGCGGGGCCGCGAGAGGGTGCCATCTGGCCTGGACGGCGTCCCAGGCGTCCTTCACGGGCTTCTCTTCCTCTTTGGTCCTGCCGAGCCTGCGCTGGGGCGGCGGGGGAGGAGACCATGCTGACCCAGTGCTGCCCGACTACGAGCCACCTCCAACACAGCCAGGCCGCCCCGCCAACCCCAGTGATCTGTGCTCTGTGGCAAGTCACGGGAACCTCCCATGCCAATCTGCTTGCTCATGCAAATCGACACTGACCGACTCTCAGTCGACGCTAAATCGAAGATTCTTCATCGATGGTCAAACGCTGGCGCAATATCTACTCGGCACTCTCGTGACGTACGCTCGGCTCCCATGAGTTGCCACCGAACCAGTGCGAAGAGGGGAGGACGGGGGTGCGGCTACGGAATTGTTTTGGGAAGTCTTGTGGGTGTCCTTCGAGGCGTTTGAGAGGCAGCTGTAGACTGCTTCCACCCGGAAGAATGGGCTTGTTTCGGGGAGACGTAAGAAACGGGTGCGAGGGACTCGGGTTCGTCTGACGGGGGCCGTCATGAAAATGACGAGATCCAATCTGAACCCTGACGCGGGCTCCCGCTGCAGACGTCCCACGAAGACCGGACCGTCAGAATCTAGGACGCGCCCGTCAGGAAACGTCTTCCGTTTCCCCGACTGCTGGGTTGAGAACAGGCGCGCCTGACCCGCCTGAACCCGCCCTGCCTACCGCGGCCGCCTGGCCCGAAGGGTTCGGGTGGTCCCCGAGCAGCCCGCCACGACCGCCCTGCGCCTGCCGCGGCCGCCGGGCACCAAAAGAGTCCAGCGGGCGGTCCCTGGCTATACTGAAGGGGCCCTGGGACACACAAATAAATACACACAGATAAAAAGGATTCCCCATATTTTCAAATATTTTCTAGGTTTCTGTCTCCCCCCCACTTCCCATATTTTCCTATATTTTCTGGGGAATCGACGATTCATTGTGTCTGTGTGTTTTTTCCCCTCCTGATATACCCCGCCCCGCCCGCCCTGTGCATACGGCTGCCGCCAGGCCGCAGGCATCCCGGAGAACCCGATGGCAACATCATGAACAAGCAGGTAGACCAGGTGTGGCGGCAAACACAACCCCACTCAGAAGCATCACGGCGTCACGCCATACGGGGGTCACGCACACCGGTGACATACAATAATCGCATACATCAAGGACCGCCACCGGTAACATACACAACCAGCATGCGCACAGAACAGACATCAACCCTACACACCGAAAGCATGCACCAAGAACAGACAACAATAACAATAGAAACTGACCACAAAGACAACACACATCAGTCGAGTGCACAAACAAGTAACAGGCACCAATGCCAATTCCATACATCAAGCTGAGGCGCCAACGCCATACACTAACAACACACATCAACAGACGCACACATATAAACCATTCATATAATCTGGGACAGCCACCAATCCGCTGGCCCCCTTGTGGGCCCACCAGGCTGCGTGGATGTTTCCTGTGCCCTGCACTAGGTGCAGGCTCCAGTCTCCCATGTTGTAGTTTTACTCTCTGCTTCCAACTGTAGTGTGTTGCTGTCCGCGCCAGGGTGGGGGGGGTACAGAAAACTGGCCTCCCCCCCATCCCATCCTGTTTCTCAGAATTCTCCAGGGGGGGGTCCAAGCACACGTAACAGTATATAATCGGGGGCGCGCCAACATGGATTAGCGATCCATGGATTTGGCGCGCGGTCGCCAAATCCATGGAACGGGGGAGGTGCCCTCCCCACCATGCGGCCGGTGCCGCCTCATTCGGCGGCGGAAATCCGCGATTTCCCATGGAAACGGGACTCGTCGCTAATCCACGCCCCCCTGATCCATGTTTGCGATCGCCTGATATAGGGTGGGTGCCCCCGAGGTCATGTTTGACATGGTATCGACAAGGGCTCGCCCTCCCCAGGGCAGAACCCTTCGTAGATTCTACCAGGTTCGCGCTCCCGAGGCCACAATCCCATGTCACTGACGCCAGGGTCCCCAGAATCCTCATGAAGTGATATCTGGCGCTGGAATGATTTGTGAATCCCACCAGCTCTCGGGGTGGAGGCACTTTGAACAAGTTTCGTCCTGCTCCTTCCAGAACCACCTTTCCCCCTGCTCAGGGAAAAAAGCTTACCCCTTCCCCTCCTCCCTGCCACGGGTTTGGACGGGGCGCCCCGCGAGGTGTCAGAGGGTGCTTCTCGGTCCAAGATGGCTCCACGAGGGCCTCAGAGAGCCTAAGATGGCCTCCAAGATGGCCCAAGATGCTTCAACATGGTGCAAGATAGCCTCCGACTTGCCAGCAAGACGCCCAAAGGCAGCTCCAAGAGGGTTCCAAGTGTACTTCGAGCGCTCCAAGACACCTCCCAAAATGCCAGCATTCAAAACCTGAGGACAACTACTGTGGTTTGCCTGCTAGCTGCCTCGCTTCGGATGGGCTTGTCGGGCTTCCAGGTGGCCCAAAGATGGCCGACGAGGGCCCCAAGAGGGGCCCGAGAACGCCCCCGGAGGGCCCCGAGGGGCTTCTGTTAAGCCTCCGAGGGGGGGATCTGAATTGAGGACCCCCTTTTGAGCCATGGTGTCATGTCGGGCGTGTCCCCCTACAGGGGGATTTTCGATGAAAAATAAATACCATGTGACGTACCCAACCCATGTGTATCATGGGAAACGAGGAGTTGGCCGAAACTTGAATGGACAATCAAATTGCAGGATCCGTAGTTTGTTATGTAAGCTACTTGGGACACGCGCCTATGGCATGATGCGCAGGAGAACCATACAAGAACGAGGGGCGACAACTACAGGCTCGAAGAGGACATGGGGAGTCGGGAACGAAGAGCAGGAGAAAGACGTGCGGGAAGCCCACTGTGCTGTGCCCCTCAGCAGCCCTCGAAAGAGGCGACAGTCTCGCAGATCGCAGCCCCCCAGGGATGGCGAGGTCTAAGTTAAGTCTGCGGTGAGTACCCACTGTGCTGTGCCCCTCAGCAGCCCTCGAAAGTGGCGACAGTTTCACAGATCGCAGCCCCCCAGGGATGGCAAGGTCTAATCTGAGTCTGCGGTGAGTACCCACTGTGCTGTGCCCCTCAGCAGCCCTCGAAAGTGGCGACAGTTTCACAGATCGCAGCCCCCCAAGGATGGCGAGGTCTAATCAGAGTCTGCGGTGAGTACCCACTGTGCTGTGCCCCTCAGCAGCCCTCGAAAGTGGCGACAGTTTCACAGATCGCAGCCCCCCAGGGATGGCGAGGTCTAATTTGAGTCTGCGGTGAGTACCCACTGTGCTGTGCCCCTCAGCAGCCCTCGAAAGTGACGACAGTTTCACAGATCGCAGCCCCCCAGGGATGGCGAGGTCAATCTGAGTCTGCGGTGAGTACCCACTGTGCTGTGCCCCTCAGCAGCCCTCGAAAGTGGCGACACTTTCGCAGATCGCAGCCCCCCCAGGGACGGCGAGGTCCCGCTCATGACCGCGCGGTACCTCACTCTGCACCCCTCAGCAGCCCTCGAAAGTGGCGACAGTCTCGCAGATCGCAGCCCCCCAGGGACGGCGAGGTCCCGCTCAGGTCCGCGCGGTGCTTCACTCTGCAGGACCCACTAGCAGCCCTCGAAAGTGGCGACAGTTTCGCAGATCGCAGCCCCCCAGGGGCGGCGAGGTCCCGCTCAGGTCCGCGCGGTGCCTCACCCCGCAGGACCCACCAGCAGCCCTCGAAAGTGGCGACAGTTTCGCAGATCGCACCCCCCCCAGGGACGGCGAGGTCCCGCTCAGGTCCGCGCGGCGCCTCACTCCGCAGGACCCACCAGCAGCTCCCGAAAGTGGCGACAGTTTCACAGATCGCAGCCCCCCAGGGACGGCGAGGTCTCGTTTGGGTCAGCGGTGGGTACCCTCTCTGCTGGCCTCCCCAGCAGCCCTCGAACGTGGCGACAGTCTCGCAGATCGCAGCCCCCCAGGGACGGCGAGGTCCCGTTTGGGTCCGCGGTGAGTACCCTCTCCGCTGGCCTCCCCAGCAGCCTTCGAAAGTGGCGACGCTTTCGCAGATCGCAGCCCCCCAGGGACGGCGAGGTCCCGTTTGGGTCCGCGGTGAGTGCCCTCTCCGCTGGCCTCCCCAGCAGCCCTCGAAAGTGGCGACACGTTCGCAGATCGCAGCCCTCCAGGCTCCACTGGCCTCCCCAGCAGCCCTCGAAAGTGGCGACACTTTCGCAGATCGCAGCCCCCCAGGGACGGCGAGGCCCCGTTTGGGCCCGCGGTGAGTACCCTCTCCGCTGGCCTCCCCAGCAGCCCTCGAAAGTGGCGACAGTTTCGCAGATCGCAACCCCCCAGGGAGGGCGAGGTCCCGTTTGGGTCCGCGGTGAGTACCCTCTCCGCTGGCCTCCCCAGCAGCCCTCGAACGTGGCGACACTTTCGCAGATCGCAGCCCCCCAGGGATGGCGAGGTCAAAGGCAGGGGGGAAGAGAGGGACGGGAAGGAAGGAAGGACGGCTCGCGCGAGCAGTGCTCTATTCAAAACGAGAACCCAACGCAGGAGGGTTGGGAAACAGAACGCAAAAAATACACCAGAAAAGGCAAAACATAGTCCCAAAATAGTCCCCAGACTATGTTTGGAGTATGTTTTGCCTATTTGGGGATATTTGTTCTCTTCGTCGAAAATCCATATGTGGGGGGACAGGCCCGACTTGACCATGGTGCCCAAGGTCGCCCCGAGAGGCCACAAAAGCTCCCAACTTTGCAGGTCAGGGTCTTTGCAAGCCCCCCCCCCCCCCCCCCGCAAAGGCCCTGCAGAGAGGGGGCCCCTCTCGCGTTGGCTGTGGAGCCGTGAGCCCCGCGGTTCTGAAAGGGGGGTACGAAATTCAGCCCACCCCCCTTCGAAAGCTCAATCATCATCATCATCATCATCATCATCATCATCATCATCATCATCATCATCATCATCATCATCATCATCATCATCATCATCATCATCATCATCATCATCATCATCATCATCATCATCATCATCATCATCATCATCATCATCATCATCATCATCATCATCATCATCATCATCATCATCCTCATCTCATCATCATCATCATCACATCATCATCA